TTTTGCAAAGGCAAGAGCAACCCAGCTCCTTCCATAGTTATTAAGCCCATCTGTTAGCACATTTGGTTTTTACCAACTGCAGTTTCATCATAAAGCATACAATATGTGCCTATTTCTTAAATGAGATTTATCATTTTGGTCAGTGTTTTTTAATAGATACTTTACCTAAGCCCAAAGTTTTGCTTTCAGCTTGTCTCATACTGACTCAAATGCTGTGTTTTTGCCTCAGTTTTTGTGTGTATGGGAACCAGAGTTCTAAGTTACACCTCTCACCTTAGACAAATTAACCCAGCAGACACAAACCAAAGAAGTTTCCCTTGTCCCCCCTGTGTAAGAACTGGACCAGAGCTGGAGGAATGGCTACTTTGTCTCTGAGGCTGTTGAACTAAAAACCCCAGCCATCACACACACAGAGACAGATGTTCATTTCACTGAAGGGCTGTGTGTAAAGAGAAGTTTTGTAAATCAACCATGTTTTAACTGAAATTATCTAGGGATAATTTGAAAGAGCATCATTAATTTCAAAATCATTTACCACTGGTGCTGTAGAGTATGTTCAAACCCACCAGCTGCTCCTTGGAATCCTACAGAGGGTTTCTGTGAGTTGGAACTGACTCGATGGCACTTAATAACAACAGCTACAATTGAGTGGATTCCAACTTAAGGCAACCCCATATGTGTCAGAGGAGAACTGTGCTCCAGAGTTTTCAATGGCTGATCTCTTGGAAACAGATCATTAGGACTTTCTTCCAAGATGCCTCTGCGTGGATTCAAACCACCAACCTTTTGGTTAACAACAGAGCTTGTTACACTTTGCACCACTCAGGGACTCCAATTTATCACCAGTCACCCTCAAATTCATCTGTGACAAGCTTACAAAGTTTAGATGTAAACTTTGTAAGTTTTGCTGTTGAGTTGGTTTCGACTCATAGCCACCCTGTATGGGGTTTCCAAGGAGCAGCTGGTGAGTTTGAACCATCGACCTTGAGGTTCAAACTGACTTTGCAGTCTATGGGTATATCCAACTTTTCAAAACAGGACATCTTCAGGAAGATTTGGTATTTTAAGAAACAATTTTGGCGGTTGTTTCACTGACAAGGAGCCTTGGTGGTGTAGTGATTAAAGCACTTGGCTGCTAACTGGAAGGTCAGTGGTTTGAACATACCAGCCACTCCATGGGAGAGAGATTTAGAAACCCTTTGGGGCAGTTCTATTCTGTACTATAGGGTCATTATAAGTCGGAATTGACGTGACGGAGTGGGTTTGGGTTTCATTTCACTAACAACTCAATGACTTATGGCTTGTCCATATAACTGAGTGAGGTTACATGGGTCCTTCACAGCATGCAGAACTGGGGGTCCCAAAGGAGGGGCATACTTTGCCAGGGTCTGAAACTCATCAGTGTCCTGGCTGCCTTATCAAACTGCTTGTGTTGTTACAAGTCTGGAAGAGTCTAACGTACCTTCCCATTATTTCAGCTCAGAAAGTACCCTTCTGCTGCAAAAGGCATGTGGGTATCACCACTTAACCTGGAAACACCTTCACGAACGCCTGGCCTTCTTAAAAACTGGGCATGTGGTGGTGCTGTGGGACAAAGCACTGGACTGCAAGATCAGTTTGAACCACAAGGTCAGCGGTTCAAACTCACCAGCCACTCCTTGGGAAACCTATACAGGGTTATTGTTGTTGGTGGTGGTTATGTGCCATGAGAGTCAAAGCTGACTTGATGACACTTAACAACAACTCCAGCAGGAAGGTTTGCTTTCAGCTCCGTGCCTGTGGAGAAAGGCTGACCCTGTGTAGCTGATTTCATTTATCACTCTTAAGTCTCTTGTGATTTTGTAGAAAACCCTCTGCTGTCAATATTGGAGAAAAATTGTTTTAAGGGGCCACCTTAATAATCTATACCATAGGTTTCTAAACCTGGCTTCTCATTTCAATTGCCTGAGAACCCCATCCCAGAACTGAATTACAATCTCCCTGGTAGGGCCTGGGAATCTGTATGTGTTAAAGCTCCCAGGTGGTTCTGTGGTACGTCAGTTTTGAGAGGCACCGATTTAAATTCAAGAAAGAAACTGAACTATCATTCCTTTTATACCCACCACCAGCTTTTACAAAATTGCTTTCTAAAAATAAATTCATATTCCTTGTAAATAATTTTAACAATACAGATGCAAAGAAATAAAAGCAAAAGCCTCCCCTTACCTTCACTATTAAACTCACCAGCTGCTCCTAGGAAACCCTATACAGGCTCGCTATGGGTAGGAATCAACTCGACAGCACTTTAGAAGAACAAGATAAAGTACAATAACAAAAGGCCCATCCTTATTTGCTAGAACCAGGCTTTTCCTTGAGAAAAAAATGACTATGAAGAATATCAAAGTAACAACAGGAAAAGTTTTTACCTTTAGTATATTCTTATATCTCTACTGCTTTGGTTTGTTTTTGTTTTTGTCATTTGTGGGAACATTCCCTAATGGGAAACACCAGTGGATGGGAGATGTTGTTAGATGCCATTGAGTTGGTTCCAACTCTTAGTGACCTTCTGCACAACAACCCTACGAATAAGGAAACACGGCCCGGACACTGTCCATCCATCTCGTTGGGGGCCTTCCTCTTTTACCTGAGTCAGCACTTGTCCAAAATATGAGAGACCAAGCCTCCCCATCCTGGCTTCTAAGGAACATTCTGGTTGTACTTCTTCCAACATAGATTTGTTTGTTCTTCTGTCAGCCCATGGTACTTTCAATATTCTTCTCCAACATCATAACTCAAATGCTTCAATTCTTCTACAGTCTTCATTGTCCAACTTTTACATGCATTTGAGGCTAATGAAAATGCCCCTGCTTGAGTTGTTGTTGTTGGTTATGTGCCAAAAAGTTGGTTCCAACTCATAGCGACCCTGCACAGGGTTTCTGAGGCTATAAATCTTTATGGGAGCAGAAAGCCTCATCTTTCTCCCACAGAACAGCTGGTAGGTTCAAACTGCTGACCTTTAGTTTAGCAGCTCAGGTCATAATCCACTACGCTACCAGAGCACCACCTTTAATCCTCAAACTGCTATCTTTGCTCTTGAATACTTAAAGAGGTATGGTGTAGCAGATATGCCTAATGCAATATGTCGTTTGATTTCTTGACTGCTACTTCCATGAGTATTGATAGTGGATCCATACTAAATGAAGTCTTTGACAACTTCAATCTTGTCTCATTTATATGGATGTTATTTATTGATCTAGTGGTGAGGATTTTTGTTTTCTTTACACTGAGGTACAACCCACACTGAAGACTGTGATTTTTGATCTTCATCAGTAAATATTTTAAGTCCTCTTCAGTTTCAGCAAGCAAGGTTGTATTATATGCAAGTCGTAGGTTGTTAATGAGTCAGTCTTCCTTCTATCCTGATGCCTCATTCGTCTTCATATAATCCAGCTTTTCAGTTTATTTGCTCAGCATTATTGTTGTTGTTATGTGCCATGGAGTCAGTTCAAACTCATAAGCGACCCTGCATAGGGTTTCCAAGGCTGTAAATCTTCATGGGAGCAGAAAGTCTCATCTTTCTCCCATGGAACAGCTGGTAGTTTCAAATTGCTGACCGTGAGATTAGCAGCCCAATTCATAACTATTACGCTACCAGTGCTCCGCGTACAGATTATTAATTAAATCACCTTTCCTGATTTTAAATCATTCAGTGTCCCCTTATTGTTTTCAAATGACTGCCTCTTGGTCTACATACAGGTTTCTCATAAGCACAGTTAAGTGTTCATGAATGCCCATTCTAAACAATGTTGTCCATAGCTTGTCATGATCTATACAGTCAAAAGATGCACATGGGGGAGGAAATGTTGTCTCTCCCAACAGCACTCAGTCCTGGTAATGCCTGCTTCAAAGCAGTAGTTCACCCTTGGGGGACTTTAGAAGCTCCCGGCCACACCAGGACCCTGCTGAAGTTCCCCACTGGGTTTGTTAAGATCGTTTCAAGACATGTATGTAGGTAATGTTTCATTTATTACTAACAAGGGTTTTTCTTTCTGTTTTTTTTTTTTTTCCTTTAGTAGATTTTTGTTACTCTATTATTTGACATAAAAAAGCCACAAACACAATTTAATGAAAATATGAGTCTCAGAAAAATCAAATCTATGCAGATTCCAAATTACTAACCTCTCAGTACAAAGATGAGTGATCCTGACTTTTTTATTGTTTAATTACTTGGTGATAGTTAACTATGTTAAGAAGACTACAAAACTTTCAAAATATATTTCTAGAACCCAGGTAACTCACTGCTGTCAAGTGAATTCTGACTCGTGGTAAAGGAATGTATCACAGAGTAGAATTGCCTCATAGAGTTTTCTTTATTTACAGAAGCAGATTGCCAGATCTTTCTTCCAAGGTGCCTCTGGGTAGATTCAAATGACCAGTCTTTCAGGTAGCAGCTGACTGTATTATTTGGGGTGTGGCACTGTGGGCTAATGCACTGAACTGCAAAGTTGTTTCAACCACAAGGCCGGTGGTTAAAGCTCACCAGCTACTCCTTGGAAACTCTATACCGGGTCGCTATGGGTCACAACAGATTCGACTACACTTAACAACAACAACAGCAAGCTTTAGTTTGCATCAGAAGCCCCTGTGGTTCTTGTTAAAATGCAGATGGTCCGACCCCACCTCATTCATCTGACTCAGTAAGCTAGCAGACATGGAGCCTAAAAATCTTGTCTTTTTAACCAGGGGTAGGAGGGTGTCAACCCACTTCCCTAATGTGAGATTCCTTCTACAACATCTGATTTAGGCCATTTCTGTCTCACACTACTCTTTCCCCCAACTTCCACCCGTAGCTCACCTCCTCCCAGGGCAGCCCACTCCATTTCTAAACACCAAATTCAATGGAAGCTTCTAACAGAAAGAAACCAGTACATTCAAAATCTAAAGTTATTCAACATGTGCTTATAGAAACACACCAATACATAGACAGAATGAAGAAATAAACGCATGAAGAAATGACTGACCTGCTTCTTCTGGTGTTTGTTTATCAGATTCAAAAACAAGGCATAACATCTGGAATCGTTGGCCAAGGCAGTACAGCAATCATGGTAAGAAGTAAGTTTGCTGCAGAAATGCCAAATGGGAAAAGACAAATAAGCTTTGTTTTGCTACAAAATACACATAGCGTCACTTCAAAAAACAATCCTTCAGAGGGCATCACAGTTCATGAAAAGGAATCTAGAAAAACTCAACACACCGGTCTGGAGAAGCAGCCTTGCAAGGAACCTTGCTGTCTGCTCTACACTCTGGAGGGAAGGGCAGAAGGAAATAATACTTTTAAAAAGAAATGTCCTTTGAGAACTAGAAACCTGGAGCTGTAAAATACAAACAAGGTGTAAATTTACACTATCCACATGATTCAGAAAATTCAAGTGAAGTAATTTACCTAAAATCTGGTTGGATACCAGTGAATCCCCTGGGACCCTGGCAGAAGCATATGTAAAACTACTTTAATACACTAAGCAAATACTAACCAAAATACTGCAGATAGAATATAGAAATAAGCAAATATAGAATAAGCAAAAGAAACTGTAACTCTTCAAAATAGCTTCAAGATATATAAAGCAAACCCAAACAAAAAAAAATTCACAAGGCCATATTGAAAAATATACATTAAATTGGGAAAGCTCCCGAAATGTTTCTCAGTAATTGAAAGATTAATAGATAGAACATTATCCATATTTTTAAAAAATGATGATACATAAGCTATAAACAAATACTAATGAATTTTAGACAATTGGTATCCCATAGATCATACTCTCTTGTCAAAGTGCAATTGAATTAGATATCAATAAAATGAAGTCTTTTTTTAAAAAAGAATATAATCTTAAACATTTTAAAATATAGCTTAAGGATAAAAAAAAAAGATGAAAATAAAAAATACTTATCCTTATGAATAATAATAAAAACACTACAAATTAATATTCTGGGGATGCAGCAAAAATAGTATTTAGAAAAAAAATTTATAGCCTTAAACAACTGAACAGAGTTTAACTTTTAACAAAAAAATTTACAAGATGAAAAGTATACCCAAATAAAATAGAAGGAAGGAATTAATAAGGATAAGAGTAGAAGGAATAAAATAGGAAACAAACATGCAATATAGTGGATCAATTAATCAGCTAATATTATACAGACAAGCCTTTGGCAAGACCAATGAAGAAAAGAAAAAAGTCACAAGTAATCAAAATTAGGAACGAGAATCAATGTTAACAAAGAGGCAGTGTAACACAGTCGTTAAAGTATGAATATTAGAGCCAGTCTAGTTAGTTCTGAATTGTGCTTTTACCACTTACTGTTTGTGTGGCCTGAGGAAAAGTGCTGAACATTTCTATGCCTCAGTTTCTTCAGATGTAAAATGAAAATGAAAACATTATCAATATTAAATGAATTAGTACTTAACATGTAGTAAGCACTATATGTCCTGGTGTGGCACTGTAGGATACGTGCCACTGGATAGCTAATTGCAAAGTCAGCGGTCCAAACTCAACAACTTACTGCTTGGAAACTATAAAGAGTTGCTATGAGTTGGCATTAACTCAGTTGTACTTAACAACAAGAACAACAGGCACTGTGTGTAAGAAGTCCAGGTGGTAAACAAAAGATTAGGGGTTTGAACCCACCAGTCACTCTGAAGGAGAAAAGACCTGGCCAGTTTCTCTAATGAAGATTGTTGGTGTTATATGCTATCTAGTCAATTCTGACTCACAGCATCCCTACAGGCTGGGTAAAACTAGGATGTAATCTTTATGGAAGCAGATCACCGGGTGTTTTCTCCTGGGTTAGAGTCTGTAATCCTACCACCAGGGTTCCTTCCATAAAGATTACAGTCTAGGAAACCCTGGGGGGGG